ATCCCTGCAGTCACGAAGGCTTTAAATCCAAATTTGAGAGAGTATTTGTTTTACTTAATCATAAGATAAACCCTGCAAGCAAACAAAACTACCATGAATGATAAGTGTGGAGTTTATTTGGTGCAATTTCCATGAATCCCTCTCTGCCTTTCTAATTAATTTCTGTCACATTTACGGTCGTGTTCTAAATGTCTTGACTGAAACATCACGAATGTTTTATTCCCAGTATTAACCCGCTAAAAAGCATGCGTGGACCTTACTTATCGCCTTTGGCAGTCGTAAGTCATTGATGGAAATGCCGCATTTTTATGGCAGGGACCACTGTGAAATGTATAGTATATCATAAACCATAATGCTCAAAGTAACCGAGTAAAGTAATTGAAATTAAAATCTTATGCATTAAGTGTCTTTCTACCCTAAAGAGTAACTATTTCCTGAAGCAGCCTAGTATGTATTTCATTTATAACACAAGCTTTGCTAATGATGCGGTAAAGTGTGTTCCGTCTTGGTTGCTTATTTGTAATGTAACCCCATTTTTCCCAGTCGTAGCCCATGTTTCTCTATGTTTCTTGAAGGTGAATAGAACCCATAAATGAGAGAAGTGTATCCAACAATGGACAACTACAAAATATAAAATTGTATCATTTTCATACGTTTAACAATTTGTTTAAATCAGAGGAGTAAATGTTCATAGATTTCTTCAGAGATAAATCCCACCAATAATAGTCACTAGTTGATATGTACCCACACCAAATCATGCAAGCACTGACTGACTCAAGCATTAATATGAATACACAATCCTTGTTCTATCACAACGGTCTGTAGCTAGACATCCAAACATTTTCTCATTAGTTCCTCGATGACGCATACAATTTTACAATCAAAGCTTGCATACCATCCGGCACTCATCCTAAAATTGCAATAATTTATTTGTCCTCATACATCATTGTAGCAAAACAAAGTGCTGGTCTGTACTTTGACCGTGAACACAATGTGACAATTTCCCAGCATGCGTAGGACATGTGCGTTTGTTCTTGTAGTCGCAGGATGACGGCGCGCCATACTCTATTGTCTGCCAGATGAAAAAAAAGCGACGCAAGACCGGGACACTCGCATCCCCATTTGTGTGTCAGAGCGTCCGCTGTTTCTTTTTTCTCGTTTCCCATCAACGATGCGCACCCACAACTCGCACCGGGGCCCGGGAGGCTGTCCTCTGACACTGCACGACTACTGTCATTGCCTTGCGCCTGCTCACCTCTCAGATTGAATGCCCCTCCGTGTGTTCCCGACCGTAAACTACCGCCACAGACTGGGAGGGCACGCACGCTCTCAACTGTTCCCATTGCTTCTCTGCTATTCATAAAGATCACTCGGGAAAATTCAAGCCATTACTTCAAATACCTGTATGAAGAATACACGTGATTTTATGGTCATATCTGCTTATTCCAGACACAACCCTATAGCTGTTCAACAATGCTTTACGCATGTTAAACTTATTGAGTTACGTTTGTGTGTTTAATGCCACTATGAATTTGTATGAAGAAAAAAATACTGAATGCATATACAGTAATTTCAAGTACTGTAGTTGCAACTATTTATGCTATGACAGGCACGCACTATTACATGGCGTTTAACGTCCACTGTTTAGTCGTACGCTTTGATAATAATCTGAGCAGAAATGACTCAGCTGGTAAGCATTGAAAAGTGGATCCGTTCTTTAGTTAATTTTGTTTTACGTTTACTATTATCAGCAACAACAGCAACAGTACAACATGGAATGGGTTACCAAGGAAAATGTACCAAGTGGTCATGACGCAGTAAATGGAAATCCAGACAGAATGTTCTTTCAATAAAAAATATATATTTGGGATTCCATCAGCATTAACCTTGCACAGTTGAATTCCATAATTGGAGCGCGCGAACACATTCACGCACAGTCTCACTCACCAACAAGCACGCAATCGTGGCCCCATGGTCATAGGACGCCTCCCCGGAGAACAGAGAGGGCACGATGACTCGCTGCTCTTCATTGCTCATCGCCGCGAAGTGTTTATTGCCGGCCGAGTGTCTTCCCTAACCGGGGCACCCACCCGTCTGCGCATCTTGAGACCGCGACGACTAATGTGTCATTCGCTTCTTTTTTAGACTTTTTTTTTCAAAGCTGTTTACGAGTCTCCTCTCCGTAGACGAAGTCTGGGGATTCCTGTCTGGGTTAATATTGCCCTGACACCCTCCACTCAGGCCAAAGGGAGTTCACTTTTATTAAAGCAGAGGATGTTGTGTTGTTATTTAAACGAGGCAACCAGAACCACGAGGCTTAGACTTAAATTTGGAGTTATGGACACATTGGAATTTAAAATGTCAGTCTTGATGTCACTTTAAAAATTTGTCCCGTTTAAAATAAAAAAGTGTTCATGCTTCTCATATAAAGATAGAGTGGTAGGGGCCTGCCAACGCCCTGCCTAATCAACATCATCCTCTTGGTGTCGGTTAAATAATCAGCACCTGGTGATCAATCATTTGGTGGGACGCCAACAGTAGTTATCCTCCCGTCAATATGGTTACTGTCTCTGAGTAACACGGTTGGCTACGTATGGTGTGAAATAAGTTCAATACACATACGAACGTGGAATTACTACAACTCAGAACGTACAGTGAAGATGAGTAATGTTACTAATTAAACACCAGTGAATTTAGAGGGGCGTGGAATAACAGCTGGGTCAAGAATACAGGAATGATAATGACATTGTATAATACATAACTGATTAAGTGATCAACATACCTGGCAAAACTAAAGATATGAAAAAGAGGGACTGGATAACCGCTGCAGGCGTTTACAATATCATTGTGAGTTCACGTTACGTTAACCAAGTGGGGGCGCTATCGCTGAGCCGTAGACACAGAAGACAACATCTTCAACGCATTGCGAGCACCATACGAAACCCATAGGCATTTATTTGTTTAACCACTAACGTCAATGTCCTGAGAATATTCGGTTGCCCATGGTTCAACCATGCTACTTTATGTACTTTCTTAGAAACAACATAACGCACGAATAGTATATAAACATATGTTATGAAAATGTTCTGCACTCAAAACGATTTGATCACAACTTGCTCCAAAGTAAATTCTATTTGGTTAGAGCTCAGCACTGGCATAACCTGTTTAATCAAGTTGCCATTGATACATTCATTGGAGCTGTCTAATATTGTTATTGGACACTGTAATTGGACAGCTGGTTTTTGTTATGCATTTTACACATTCAAACATTGAAGGCCATTCCTTCACATGGGATTTCTGAAAAAATAATGACCATGAGCGCTTGCAGCTGCGATAGTCGTGTAACCAATGCACCTCATCAACTCCGTTCTACACATCAATTCATCACGTCTTTTCATGCTGCAGATCATTTCGAGGTCGATATACTGCATCCTTCATTTAGTAAAGCCATGTTAGGGTCCGTTTCAAATGATGGCTCATTCAAAACCCAATGGTGTTTTTTTTTTTTTCAAAACTTATATAGCATTATGCTAAAGAGTAGGCACGTGTGCTCCATGGCTACAGCCGTATAGATTCCTTTCCGAAAGCAGTGGCGTAAGTAAGTATTTTCAGGGTTACACCTTTACCTGTTTTACATTCCTAAATCTGACAATACCTGCATCTTAGTAGAGGCAACTACATTCACGGCATATCCTGCACAGAACGGAACTTATTTAAAAAAAAAAGCTCTTGCCTGATTTAAACGGAGCATACACCTACACGTACCTGAACGGATTCATAGGAGCGGCGACGTTGTAGTTAGGGGCCGTCCATAAATGACGTCACGCAATTTTTGACCCCCCCCCCCCCTCGTCACACGACATCACAAAAAGTCAGACCCCCCCTCAAATATGACGTCACAAAGCTCTGCCCCCCTAAAAAAACATACTTCAAGTCGTTTTAAACTATCGTCATTGTATTTTTCGATTTAAAGCTTTCGTGACTGCAAGGATTCATCTTCTTTGGTTCTTTTGGTAAAGTCACGTAGAATGAGAATTGTGGCCGAAACCTCGTGAGAATTTTATTGTTTTATGTTATTATTTTATTCTCATTCTACGTGACTTTACCGAAAGAAACAAAGAAGATGATATTGTCATTGTAGTTCGTATTTAATGTGGCGCTGCACTCTGATGTTGTAGGAGAAAATTGATCAAAAAGTCTATTTAATTCAGTATAACGTGTTTATATTTATTTAAATTTGAGCATTTTGATGTGACGTCACATTTCTCCCCCCCCCCCTCGTCACAAATGTCTGACAACCCCCCCCCCCCCCCTAGGTGCGTGACGTCATTTATGGACGGCCCCTTAGCGCATTATTGTGTACTGAACCCGGCCATCGGAGATTTTGATTCCCCCGGCCACGGGGAATATCAACCCTCTCCGGCTCGTGCGGTACAATATGGTCAATGAGCCACCAGGATCTAGCAGTGGAACGACACACAGTTGTAAAGCGTGACTATCATTAATATAATGAACATCTTGAAGACGCAATTCGAGTAGTAATTCACGAGAATGTACCCCATGGAAAAAAAAAAACCGCGCGGACGAATGCCCACCACGGAGTTTGACAAACATTCCCCGCCCACACGAACAAGCACCATGTGCCTCCCATGATGTCCGCATGCTTAGCAAGCCCCACCTAACTCCTGGAAGCTTCATGCGCGTGTGTGCGCGCGCGTGGGCTCAGCATTTTGCGTATCCCGCGTGTGGGATGATGGGGAGAGTGGGCGAATGGTGCCTCATGGCAATGATGCTGGAATAGTTGGGGAGGGAGAGAGGGAGGGGGAGGGTGGAGAACTACAAGAGGGAGTTTTGGGTGTGGTTGGTCGGATTGGTGGAGGGAAAATGAGTGGTGGTGTTTGGTTGCTGGTGGTAGTGGAATGAATGGGTGGGTGGGTGAGTTGGTGGGGGGAAGACGTTTGGTGGTGAAGTGATGTGATGGGGGGGGGGGTGGGAGTCTGGCGGTGGTGGCACTCGAGTGGAGGAGAGGGCTTGGGTGTTGTGCGCGCGCGCGTGTTGGTGGCTGCTCGCCCGTTACAATCGGTGGGGGTGGGGAGTTGGGCCGGGCAAGCGGCACTCGGTTTAAGGCTGACGTCAGCACAAAGCGAGAGGGAACGCTCCGAAGGATCGCCCGGCCCCCTCGCTCAGTCGTGATCGTGTTGCTGCTGCTGCTGCTGAAGGCACCACCGCCCAACACCATCAACACCTCCGCAACGCGCCGGCTTCTGATGTTCTCCAGCAAACCCAGCCGCGCTTCTCGCTACGAAGAAGCAGAATTCGCCTTCGCCGGATACAATCGATAGGCGGTGTTTTTTTTTGTGTGTGTGTGCGCGTGTTAACACGATTCATTCACTTTTCTTTTGTTAGTTTGTCACCGTTGTTAAGTTTTTTTATTTTAATTTTTTTTATTCAACTTTAGGAAGGGGTCCACATTTGTTACGGGTTTTTTCCGGGGGGGGGGGGGGGGGACGTTGCTCGGCGTTGATCCGAGTTCTTGCTACTCGCGCGGTCTTTAACGTCTCATCATGCGGACTGGTCGTCTGCAACTGCACGCGGGGAGCTGCTCGTCCACGGCGACTCCCCCAGCCCACAGGGTGCCGGGCTCTCCGACACGCGGTGGGCTCCGGTGCCAGGGACCTGGTAGCCTCTTGTTGCTTCTGCTGCTGGTGGTGGTGGTGTTACTCGCCCTGCTGGGACCCACCGCTGCCTTCAACCTGGACGAGTCGCGTCCCAAAGTATTCACGGGACCTCAGGGCAGCTATTTTGGATACTCGTTGGATTTCTACAGCCCAGAGAGATACAGGTACGGCATGGTTTCTGGGTTTTTTTTACGTGCGCGTGATTTAACAGTCTGTGCGGACGGTTGTAACACAGGACGACGAGATATCATATCGGGGATGCGGAGTGAAGTTTGACGGACCACCGCTACACCACGTGCCGCCGTATGCTGCAATGTTAATCGGCATCATCACGTGCGTTTGCGTTGTAAGAGGACAGGGTGGCTGAACAATAGTAATTTACCACTCATGGACACACTGCTCTCGTGCGAGTTGTTGCGTGCTCAAGCACCTGCACGACTCGTGTGCGGTGACAGCACGTGTTCTGCGTCGGTTCACGATTCGCGCATTTGTACAAGTAACTTCGTATGGCCCAGATGGAATGAATAGCTTTCGCGCCTGACTTGTTTGCCTCGGTGAATGGCATTTGAATGAAATTGCCTCTCGTTTTTGATCGGTATATTCACTTGCATCATCCGTGGACTAATTGTCGTTTCGTTTCCCCAAAGTGGTGGCGGTGTGAGACTTGGGAGCTCCTTGCTCGGCTCACTCGTGCGGCTTCTGAATGCCTGGCTCTCGTTGACTCCTATGGATTTGGGTTTTTGATTGATCTAGTGGGAGCTGGGTGGTGTGTGCTCTCACCACACCATTTTTTCTCATTTGCAATGCGTCTCATTTTTAGTTTTCGCTCGGAGGCGCGCGCGCGCGCACGCACGCGCACGCACGCACGCGCTTTCATTGCCGGCTCTCGCCAACAGGGGGACGACGATGAAACGCGGCGTGAGCGACCTGCAATATGGGCCCCCCTCCCCCCCCCACACACCAGCTGTAGGGTAAAACCACATTTGTTTCCCGTTGTAGACCAACCCGGCCCTATGTATTCGTCAGCACTAAGGGGAGGGGGGGTGGTCCGTTATCAAAACTGCAGTTGGTTGGAATAAAGTTCGGCAAAACACCGGTAACGAGGGCTCGGTACAGATAATGAATTCCTGCAAATTCCCTGGTTTGACGGGCTCTGTAAAACCCGGATAGATGTCAACCCTAATCGGAAATGACTAATAACAATTATTTTGCATGCTTATCATTTCGCTTTTATTTGTTTTCATAATGAATGCTTGAACCTTCATAATTGTTCATTGATACACGAATTTCTATCAATTTGTATTGCTCATTGTCCCACGGTTTTTGTGCAGCGGCTCAAGATGCAGTTGCATAAAAAAAATCGTAATTGTATAATATAGGTGGTTTATTAAAGGAAGCCTCAAATTACTCCCATTGCTTCTTGTCAGCAGGGTCCTACAAGATATTTTTGGCCAATTCTTTCAGAGCTCCTGGAGTAATCCTCTGCGTAGGAGTGGATAACCGCACCATAATCCAACACCAATGCCTCAACAATCTATTGCTGTACTGCCTGCTACAGAAGTGTGCCTCGTACATCCTCAACATGATCCACCAACCTAGCATCCAAGGTGCTGTTTGTTCTACTGCGTCCTGCTAAATAAATTCCAATTTAAATTGGATTTGAAATAAATTCCCATTGAAATTGGAATCGAAATGAATTCCACTGGAAATCTATTATTTTGGTTGTCAGTCCGTCCAATAGCACACATTTATTTTCCTTCAATAACAAATGCCATTGGCCTCGGTGGGTGCTCTCTCAAAATGGCCAACGCGAACACTCAAGTGTGCCCCAAACCGGTATAAAATGGAAAATATAACAGGTGGGCTGACACGCGTGCACCCAGGGCTCGTCACAGAATTCTTGGGAAGATGGGTTCGTGCGTAGGTGTCAAATGGCACACCGTCCCATATGGCCTCCACACGGCTGAGGCCCCTTCCCAGTGCCTGCCCCCTCTCTCTCTCAGGGCACGTTACAGCACTGGCATGCTCGCATGTTTTATTTGTTCCAAGGAAGAGCCAGCTACGAGCTGGAACATTGGAAAAAGTACCAAGTGTATTATTTAATTAAGCGGTTTTACCACACTGGGTAGGCAGTTTCATGACATACTGTGTGTATGGTGATTTTAAAATGTATTTTTTATGTATCGTATGCATGTTTGCTATATTACATTTAAATGTTTTATAATATTCGTATTGATACACACACACGGTGTCTTGCAGCAAAAAGTGTCGGCATCTATTTCCCCTAAATGAAGTTAGTTTATTTTTTTTAAACCGTAAGTACGGTATCATCATTATCAGAAACTTGACTATTCGTAAGTCAAGAAAGTTCGTGTCCTTGTGCTTATACTAGGGGACTGTGGTAGCGAGTGTAGAGCGACGCTTATCTTCGCTGGTGGCCATGAGAGTCTGTGCTTGTGGAATTCCACATCGGACAGACTCTTGACTTTTTGCAAGGCGGCAGTAATTGTATCGATCTGAGAGGAATGATGGTCTGAATCATTCCCCCAACTAGGAATTCAACTCGCAACCTTAATTTCTACTGCAGCAGCAGCAACAATAATAATACTGCCTATGCTATGTACATGTTTACGGTTGGTTGGCACTGTTGTTGCAGTGCTGAAGTGCTCTATTCACAGTGCGAACATTGCTCATTGAACTCCAGATCCCAATAACTCAAACCATTGTATGTAACATGAGTACGGTTTTATGGGAAATCAACCTTCGTTGTACCATGGAGAATGTAAAATTATTCGCATAATGAGACCCTTTGACTTGCATACATATGCACATAGTTGTCACATTAAAATTGAACATGCTAATGTTGTCCACATTGTACAGTTTATACAATTCTAGATTTAAAGCTTTCGTGACTGCTAGGATCCATGCTCTTTGGTTCTATTGGGTAAAGTCACGTGACTTTACCCAATAGAACCAAAGAGTATAGTTTATACAATGTTATTTTCTGATGTATTTTTGACTAAGTAACACCAATCCAATTTTCTATGTGCGGGGAAAGTTGAGTAACGGTTGGCAATGGGGGGAATTCCCATCTGTGCATTGAGTGCAGCCATTATTGACCAGCCAGAACCATGTACTTACTGCCCAGTAAATTGGTCTGCAGACTGGAAATCACAAGATGACCAAAGCTGGCTATGAATTTTACTTCCTTTGCATAAGAACAACGTGAACTTCTCTGCAACTAACGTGGAGACGTACGGCTGGGAGATTATCCAACGCAATGCCTGAATTGCGGAACAGTGCCTGACAGTGCGAGTGGGTGCGTGACCTCATATGAGCACATTTCTTTGGAATAGACACTGCAAAAGGTGATTTTTTTTGTTTGCATTTCAGTGGGAAGTAGGAGCTGCCGATTATGATGATGCATTCCACGCCTTGCTTATGTGGCAGTTTGATAAGTGGTTTTCCTGTTGTAGTGATACGCTGAAAGTACTAGTCGCCAATTATGACTGTGTATCCATCTAAAGTATTTGTATCACCGCTCGCGGTTGGGTTGCTAAGCACACTGGCTCGAGGAAGCAAAGCTGGAAAATGTTTTGGAGAAGTAATGGTGCAGCTGTATTCATGGAGGGAGTGAATGGTTCATACGATTACTTTTGGCCACAGCTGTTATGGGCAAATTAGATGATTTTAAAGTGCTGGCATGATCATTTCACAAGGCATTTTTTTTTAATTGAAAACCCCAACGCAAAATAAGACATTGCATGTTTTCTCCCATCATCATTGGACGAAAGATGTATAAATGAGTTATCAAGGCCAAAATACTTTCTCATCAACGTTTAAATTGCCATGGAAGCATACTTTATTTGTCGTTTGCGCATGCGTTGCATGGCAGCAAGACTGGAGTGGTAGCTTATTGTTCCATAATCCCGTTATATCCAGTTTGATCCATGGCCATTGCAGTTACTGGAAGTAAATGGTGTTTAAACCCGGCTTGGGACTAATGTATGCGAACTTGCCTTACGATTTATACTTTAATCGAGTCCAAAATAACCAGCCCTGGCCCTGGCCTCAATGGTAAATTTGGCTCATTTAACCGCAATTTAAGTAAAAAATGTAACCGCACTTGATGTCTGCAGTCTATATCCATGCTTACAGCTGAATGTGTTTGTGTGCAGCAATGGCATTGTGGTGGGAGCCCCCAAAGCGCACACAGATGCGCATCCCAACGTGACGCAGCCTGGGGCCGTCTTCATGTGCCTCTTGCGTGAGGAGAACTGCACGCGCATTCCCCTGGGACCGCCCGGTAAGCCCTGCCACCCAGCCTCATCGCAGTCGGCGCCGGCGGATTTTAACGGCGGTGTGGCGTGTTGCACTGATCATGGCTTTTGCGTGGGCAGTTGTGCACATTCTGTGTCCAAGAACGTCTTAATCTATAGCATGTGGCACTAGGAGATATTTTGTATAGATGCATATTGATTCGCTGCCCCGAGGTGGGGAGTTTGCAGAGGTCAGGGGTGGGGGGCTGAGTGCCATTTGATAGCCGAGTGGCATTGGGTGGTTTTGAACATTAAAGTGTGTATGCATGTTGAACTTCTTTTCGCACCGTACATAGCCAACCGTGTGAAAACCTCAGGTAGCAAAACTTTAGCACTACATATTTATTTACTTGGCTAATGAGAGTGAATTATGGGATTACCAAGTCATTACAAATAGTTGTCACGTAATTCACTGTTGGCCATATCAGGAGCTGAGGGAGGACAACAAGGAGGCCTCTAGTAAAGTGAGCACCGTTATCTTTGTGATGGGGCTTTATTCACTGGACTCAGAAGTGCGAGAGTGATGTGTATGTGGGCAGTTGATTGCAAATCAAGTATGATAGTTGTGTGTGTTTGCGCGAGAGCCGTAAAGGGGGAATAATGAGTGGATGCGTGCGATTTGTGTGCGTTTGCGTGTGTGAAGTGGGGGTTAATTGCATGTGTTGCACACACAATGTGTAATAACATTCATGTAATGGGCCTAAAACTATAAACTCTTTTTATTTTACCAGGAAAGGCCCACTGAGCTATATATAGCTCCTTTTTTTTAGAAACAACCTGGCCACAAATGATAGCTCGACAGAGTGACTTATTACGTTTAAATGTATAGCAGACAAATACTCTTGGACGCATGTTTTTAAATGTGGAGGGCAAAACCGGAGGACCCGGAGAAAAATCCATGTGACCACTTTTTAGTTGTAAGCGCAATATTGACTATTCATCAAAGTTAGGCTTTATGGTACTTCGAGAGCATAATTTAGAATTGGCATGGGTTTCTCGTGATCGTCTAAAAGTATTAGATGGGGAGCCAGTGGACGCTGTTTTGCACATTACGCAGTGATCTTGCCGGCTTGTGTTCCATTCCTGGCCATGCAAAGCACCAAGGCTTCCTGGTATGTGAACGTGGCCTTGGACTGCCCAAGGTTGACTCCACCTAACAGGAGGAATGGTGCAGTTTGTCGGTATCAGCAGGGGGAGATGAAGGTTGCTGCCTGTGGCCACGCCATCACTGCATACGCAGTGCTGGGCTTAATTGGTGCATGCTGAAAGAACTTTCTCTGACAAGCAAATAGGATAACTAAACTATTTACTATTGTTATTTTACCAGATAAGGCCCACTGAGCTATATAGCTCTGTTTCAGAAGTGACCTGGCCACAAATGATAGTTCGACAAAGTGGCTTATTATCATGTGCAAATATATATATATAGCAGACAAATACTCTGAACGCGCGACGATTCTAAATGTGGAGGGAAAAACCGGAGGACCCGAAGAAGAATCCATGCGACCAAGGAGAGAAAACATGTAAACTCCAAATATAGAGGCGTTTGGGTCGGGATCGAACCAACGAACCTCTGTATACCTGGCGAGGTAGTTAACATCTTTCTACCGTTAGCCGTCTCTCTGTGTTGTATTGCATTATAGTTCTAAGTTTGCTCGGTTTATTTTCTCATTAATTCTTACCTGATGACGGTTGGTTGTGTCGCAATCGAAACGTCGTATTCTATTATTTAATCTATTTTTTTTTCTACGTGACTTTACCGAAATAACCAAATAATATTTCTACCATGGCGCCCCTATACCAGGGGTGGTTCTTTGTCCTGTAAGAACTATATAGTGTTTTGATATTTAAGTGTAGTGATGAATAAACAATGGCGAGACTCGTAAATGTAAGGTGCTGTGTTGGCAGTGATACATGAAGAATATGGTGTGGTTTTTTGAGTTGGATATGAAGCCTCCACTGAGACACGTTTGGAAAGTGTTTTCGATGTAGTTTATGAGTTGTGGGTTTTCTGAATGTGGTGATTTCAAAAGGGGACCGTTACAATGTCTTGTTGCTTTGACTCACAAATCCATAGATTTGGGTGTCTAAACATTGCTTGAAGAAGATCATAGGCATTATCTATGGTGCTCTGTAGGCCTGTTATTAAACCATGCAGTGACCATGCACTCTCCTTGGGTGTTTGCCTCGCTTACTGCGGGCTAAAGGGTGGTGTCAAAAGTGACCCATTACATCCAATAATTTGTTAATCAATTAATGCTATTGCATTCCATCCGCTTGGACACCTGTTTGACAGCTTTTCACTGCTCCCTATATATCACCACTTAGAAATAATGCCTGTGGCTCATAGCAAACTTGCTATTATTAATTAGATTTTTAAAACTGGTTAATCTGGCTTGAAACGTGCTGCTCTGTGTGCAGAGATGGGCATTGTCAATGACAGAATGCTCTGCCTCGTGTGAACGTTTCTAGCTCGATAAGCTACATGCTTATTGCCGTAATAATCAATCATGACCTGGTGAGCACAGCATTTCATTCATGTCGTGAATGTTTCGCAGAGTTTAGTTGCTGCGTGCTACTCGCCAAATGCAGGCGCAACTTCTCTCCGCGCAGTTTCTCCACATGTCACATGGAACGTACAGTGGGTTACCAATGTGAAAATGATCCATCTGTCTGTGTGTAGCCTTTATTCATCAGTCTCTCCCCAATCCCTCGAGGCTTCACCTCTCACAGAATGGCCCTCTCTTCCATCTGCATGCTGTCATGCGCCTGCTACACACTCGTGTCTGGATATAAAGCGCCTTATCTAACAGCCTTCGTCTCACCGTCCTGCTACCCTGATTTATTGCCTTACTCGACTACTTTATTTTACGTTTCTATGGTGTCATTGTATAAAGCTGTGTGGAGAAGCTGCTCCGTGCTGTGTAAAGGCAAGGCAGAGAATGAGGAGACGCTGCCCATACAAGCATCTGGCCAGGTTGTGCTGCAGTTTTGAGCGTTCAACTCACAATATGAATGATGCAATTTCAAATCCCAATCGAGGGTTGATAACACCATTACCATATTGGAGGAAGCCAAGTGGGTCCTTGCCACAGACATGTCGAATTTTTCACCTGCAGTTGTCAGGGCTACTAAAGGAAGGGTAGGCATTGCCCAGTCGGTTTCGGAATAAGGTGGCATTGGAAATTTTACTTTTTGAATATGTCCAAGGCATGCGCCGACATTGTCGTACGTATAAAACAATATATATTTACAGCATTTCCCCTTTGTTTTACTCCTACAATGCTACTGGATAATAAGAAGTAGGCCGGCAGAGGAAAAGCACAGTGAGCAAATTACAGGAAGTCATGAGTAATAATGAAGTGGTGGAGCGGTGATTTAATTTGGTTTGCTCACTCTACTATGGACCCAGCAGACATCAATTATTATAATTCCAGACAGAAAAGGTGTCTTTTTACTTTAGCTGTGGAGTGTCAAATTAAACGATTATTTAATGCCTTTTTCAAACCGCTGCTGGATTCAGTCTTGGCAGTGCTGGTTTGTGTGCTGGTTCGACAGCCCAGGAACGGTTCTCAACTCGCTCATCACTGATGTTTCTTGTGACCGGGACTCGAACGTGGGTTGTCACACTTAATGACCCGCATCAGAAAGTGCTTTCCCTCGATTTGAGCTCCTGTTCAGAATCTGATTATGCTGGATGTAATCTCCAGCGAAACGTCCGTACCCATGTAAATATGGTGAAGCAGTCATGCATTTGGCACGTCTGATTCACGTGACACTTATATTAATTGGCTGTGTCTGTGGAGGTGGGTTTACGACACACTTTGACAAGATTTAAACCCCCCCAAAAATGGGTGCCGCGGTGGTAAGATGTGAATTACCTCGCATGGTATGCAGGGGTCGTGGGTTCGATCCTAACCCTGACGGCTGTATATTTGGAGTTTGCACGTTCTCCCCGTAGTCACGTGGATTTTTCTCCTGGTTCCTCCGCTTTTTCCGTCCACATTTAGAAACATACTTTTAGAGTATTTGGCTAGTATACATGTCCACTTGATAAGCCATTTCGTTGAGATGTGATTTATGGCCAGGTCACTTCTGAACAACAATCCATCTGTCCTGCACATGAGCTGCTTCCATCACTCAATCTCCACGGCGAACGGTCTCTACGTCGTGAGAATTTTATTGTGTTATTTATTTTATTAATTTATTCGTTTATTCTCATTCTACGTGACTTTACCGAAAGAACCAAAGAAGAGGTCTCTTGGCCGTGTTCTCTCTGTTGGCTGCCACGCCACCGATCGTCTTTAGCACCTTTTTACAGATAGCGAAATAATGTTGCTACATCTTAGTTATTCCTCAAGTACTGTATGCTTAATGAGAAGGATAAGTGAAAACAAATCTTAGTGAAATCAAATTAAAGGTCACTGCAGTCCTTGGCTTTTATTATGTCAACTATAGTAACGTATATGAGATGCATTCTCCAAACTAGGAATACAGGGAGTTAATAAAGGTATCTATTATAAGTGAAATATCATGAATCGGCAGTTTCTGCTCTGTAGACAACACTGATAATAGATCCACACTTCCCACTTTGAAAATGTTATTTTAATTTTATTCCTCAAACTTCAATATGTCCCGCATGGCATTATCGACACACAATATCAATTTGAGCGTTCCAGCTGTTGGCCAGCACCTGAGGCGTGATTGTTTCAATTGCTTCTCTTTGTGTTTTGTTGAAAATCACACCAGCTTTTTGGGGTTTTTTGCATGTACTTCATTTTGCGCGTCTCTCCAGCAGCATACTGCACCGTTAAACATGTTGTCCAATTATAAAGCATTCTTCACGGATGATACCTTGATGGGCATCCTGCATATGTGAACCCATCGGTCCAAGTGTTTTGTTATTATATTTAACTTAATTGTTGTAATTAAAGGCCAACTTTTGAAAGGTGGTCACACAATATTATTCTCAGGTGCATAGCTGTGTGGAAAGTATGTAGGTGGGGGGGGGGAAAGGAAAATATTTATTTGGCCAAAAAAAGAATAAAGACTTTATCTATGAAGTGCGTTGGCTCGGAGACTTGGCCACGCATTAGGGGATGGGGTGGCTCCGAGTAAAGTCTGGCAGGGGTCACGGGTAGGGAAGACTGATTGCTATCGGGCAGCAGTCTGAGTAGCACTCAACAAAGAAGAGTTAATTCCCAGTCATCCCCCTCTTGCCTCCGTGGGAGAACTTCAGAACACGGGGCTGTGCGGTGGTCTTGTCATTGCTATGGAAAGCTGAATGTGTAACCTGGCAGCCTGCTCGGCTGAAGGAAAAATTATTATTATTATAACAGCACTAAATCACATTAAGTGGTATTACTTTTAGATATTATTCTCTAGGGAACCTTACCATATATATATATATACGCTGCAATATGTCATGCTTAGTTGAATTGCTAATCATGCAAATGAACCAAGTGATGCATGAAAAACTATGACATTACCTATTCCTAGAACAGTGCTCAGGATGAATGTTCTCTTCTACAAAGCCATATTTAAGGCTTGACTTAATATGAGATGTGGACATGACTAAAGTCTTACTCAAAAACCCTTGCGCAAAGTTGGTGCAACCTAGTAAATGCCCTGTCGCTATCAAGCGGGAGGTGGGCTGAGTTTCCGGAGAGGCAGAATTCCACTTATCAAGTGCCTAAATGGCCAAGACAGTATGAAAGGTCACTTACAGTGAGGGAAAAAAGTATTTGATCCGCTGCTGATTTTGTACGTTTGCACACTGACAAAGATATGATCAGTCTATAATTTTAATGGTAGGTTTATTTGAACAGTGAGAGACAGAATAACAACAACAAATTCCAGAAAAATGCATGTCAAAAATGTTATAAATTGATTTGCATTTTAATGAGGGAAATAAGTATTTGACCCCCTCTCAATCAGATTTCTGGCTCCCAGGTGTCTTTTATACAGGTAACGAGCTGAGATTAGTAGCACACTCTTAAAGGGAGTGCTCCTAATTTCAGCTTGTTACCTGTATAAAAGACACCTGTCCACAGAAGCAATCAATCAGATTCCAAACTCTCCACCATGGCCAAGATCAAAGAGCTCTCCAAGGATGTCAGGGACAAGATTGTAGACCTACACAAGGCTGGAATGGGCTACAAGACCATTGCCAAGCAGCTTGGTAAGAAGGTGACAACAGTTGATGCGATTATTTGCAAATGGAAGAAACACAAAAGAACTGTCAATCTCCCTCGGCCTGGGGCTCCATGCAAGATCTCACCTCGTGGAGTTGCAATGATCATGAGAACGGTGAGGAATCAGCCCAGAACTACACGGGAGGATCTTGTCAATGATCTCAAGGCAGCTGGGACCATAGTCACCAAGAAAACAATTGGTAACAGACTACGCCGTGAAGGACTGAAATCCTGCAGCCCCCGCAAGGTCCCCCTGCTCAAGAAAGCATATATACATGCCCGTCTGAAGTTTGCCAATGAACATCTGAATGATTCGGAGGACAACTGGGTGAAAGTGTTGTGGTCAGATGAGACAAAAATGGAGCTCTTTGGCATCAACTCAACTCGCCATGTTTGGAGGAAGAGGAATGCTGCCTATGACCCCAAGAACACCATCCCCACCGTCAAACAAGGAAGTGGAAACATTATGCTTTGGAGGTGTTTTTCTGCTAAGGAGACAAGACAACTTCACCGCATCAAAGGGACGATGGATGGGGCCATGTGCCGTCAAATCTTGGGTGAGAACCTCCTTCCCTCAGCCAGGGCATTGAAAATGACCCAAAACACACGGCCAAGGCAACAAAGGAGTGGCTCAAGAAGAAGCACATTAAGGTCCTGGAGTGGCCTAGCCAGTCTCCAGACCTTAATCCCATAGAAAATCTGTGGAGGGAGCTGAAGGTTCGAGTTGCTAAACGTCAACCTCAACCTTAATGACTTGGAGAAGATTTGCAAAGAGGAGTGGGACAAAATCCCTCCTGAGATGTGTGCAAACCTGGTGGCCAACTACAAGAAACGTCTGACCTCTGATTGCCATCAAGGGTTTCGCCACCAAATTCTAAGTCATGTTTTGCAGAGGGGTCAAATACTTATTTACCTCATTAAAATGCAAATCAATTTATAACATTTTTTACGTGCGTTTTTCTGGATTTTGTTGTTGTTATTCTGTCTCTCACTGTTCAAATAAACCTACCATTAAAATTATAGACTGATCATTTCTTTGTCAGTGGGCAAACGTACAAAATCAGCAGGGGATCAAATACTTGTTTCCCCCCTCATTGTAGATGTGTCTCTGTGGCACATGTTATCAGACACCACTGCCATTCCAGAACCACGCATCTCTCCATATTCATTCAGACCGTTCTGTAATTTGAATCCTTGCATCACAATTGAAAGGGTTTTATATCGGGCAATAATTTCCTTCTTGTTGATAGAATGAGTGCCACTTCATGGGAAGCCTTGCAATGGTTTTTCAATGGAGAGAGACCACTACCATGGGAACGTGGAATTTCACCATTGTCGCCAACAGAAATGAGAGGTGTCCTATTGTTGATTGAGTAGTGGGGGGAGGCACTTTGGCCGCCTGTCTTTTTGCCATGGCTCATTTGGGAATGACCAGTTTCAGCATTTTATAGCTGTCAAGGCTTGAGGGATGTTGATTTGTTTACCTGATAACAAAATATCTCGGTGCACTTTGGGTTCTTTGATTATAGGCAGTTCCTGATTCTTAAGCCACTTGTGTAAATATGCATGTCCCCTGCCCCCAACTGCTTGCTATCTATGGTACTGTATCGGCTTCCACGGCAGCAATAACATGGAAAATGCAGCTTTTTGATGTTAATAGCAAGCTTGATCTATGGCATGCCATTACACTGGTTTATGCCAGCATTGAAAGGGGAGCTTGAGTATTATTTACCACCACTGCCCTTCCTTTGCCATGTGAAAAGAGTTAAACAAAAAAGACTTAAAACGTAATCTGAAATCCTTAAGTTGTTTAAGGCTAATACTTAAATGTGGCGTTGTTTTGTTTTCTTTAAACTTTTTTCGTGTAAATTTTGGCAGCGTGGTGTAGTTCAGTAGAAAAAAAAGGTCAAATGAGCTTTTTTTTACGTGCCCAGAACCTATGGAAATTACACATTTGCATGGTGGAGGCAAATCTTTATCTAGACTAACTACAAGCAGCCTCCCATAGTGGCACTCATTTAAATGGCCCTGGCCAGTTCTTTTTTTCTCAGCTTATTGTGACTTTCAAAAGTGTCATACTTTTTTTTCTTTGTAATTTCACAACCTTACTAGGTTGGATTTAATAGAGGAGTAAATAACCATCATGTTTTGATGGTTTATCCTTCAAAGATGTGTGATTTGATTGAGAATCCTCCTCCTCTCTAACATCTGACATGTCATATATATGAGCATTTAGCTTACACATACTCCACGCTTGCAAATGTGTGTTGTGTGTGCACAGATGAGCTGTACACGCAGATTCGCTTGGGAAGCCCTCCGGAGCGAATGGAGTACAAGTCGCACCAGTGGTTTGGAGCCACTGTCAGGACACATGGTGAAACTCTGCTGGTGAGTGGAGCCCTACTTGTTCACCGCACATGAGAAACCTGTTAACACACCTATGTTCTCCGTCATTTCCCAAGTAACTGATGCAATGCATGCAAGTGCAAAAACAACCAGCCAGTCACACCATGGCAGAGCACACAACCTGCAATAAAAAGTTTCCGTTTGGGTTCGAACGCAATGGGTTTTACCGTGGGAAGTCAACTGTTTTGTCATATTAATATACTGATTCATCACCACAGCAATGTAGAATTTCCACTCCTGACTCGAGGCCAACCATGGTGATGAGCAATATCCATACTCTTTGGTTCTATTCGGTAACGTCACGTAGGTAAAAAAATTAAAACAACAAAAATCATAACGTTTCGGCCACAACACAAGCGGCCTTCATCAGGTGAAGGGATCGGGCTGTCTCGAGGACAGCGCTGGAGTGAAACACAGCCACGCTCAGCGCTGTCCTCGAGACAGCCTGATCCCTTCACCTGATGAAGGCCGCTTGTGTTGTGGCCGAAACGTCGTGATTTTTGTTTTATTTATTTTTACCTACGTGACTTTACCGAATAGAACCAAAGAGTATGGATCCTTGCAGTCACGAAAGCTTTAAATCTAGAAAAGATGAGCAATATCCCCATGCTTAATTGATGACGGAGTGCTGTTAGCGTTGGTGCCGCTGTCATGCGCTGCTGGCCGCGTTGTGCCGTGCAGGCTTGTGCGCCCCTGTATAGCTGGCGCACATTCAAGAGCGAGGAGGCCGAGCAGGAGCCTGTGGGGACCTGCTTCCTCTCGAGGGGAAACTTCTCCAGCCAAGCCGAGTACTCTCCCTGCCGCACAGGTGATGCACTTGGAAACGATATTCCCATTGACCCGTAGGGGGAAATACGGAAACCATGCACGGCCGTTCTGAACCAGTCGGATTGTCGATGGAAAGCATTGGCTCACAATGGGATGATTGCAAGATCAGATACCAGTTTTGGAGTTTACTTGGACCAGTAATCATCCCTCCCCAGGGTTCATAAAAGTAGCTTCACTTTGTGGAAAATAAGTACTGATCATCTTTTGGTGAGAATGGTCCCTCGCCATGTGAATGAGGAATTTCCACCACTGGCTTGGGTAAACTAAAGGAGATGAGTGCCACTCCACCCATTGAAGCTCATTAGCATTGAGATGCTTAGAATGTTTTAAACCTCATGCTGGCTCTGTGAAGTGGATAATGTTTGTCCACGTTGCAGCAATGATTTGGCACTTCCAATTTTATAGTAATAGTTCTTATTTAATCCAGAAAAGCATCAATTGAGTTACGAGACTTTCAGTAATGTCCTGCATGGAAATGTGAAGTCCTGCTTTGTTTAGTATATGAGTAAGAATTTGGCGTACCGACAGATAACCCATGCACTCCAGAATCAACATTTCCATAGGAAGTTAAACCGAGTACATTCGTCTGTTGCAAAGTACATTTTAAAGGTCACGTGATATCCTTCAAGAGTAGGCCACCAAGTCCATAACCCAAAACCCAAATTTTTAATAAACCCACCTAGAAATTACAGCTTGCTGTATGTACATTGAACTTCCTATGCACCCTACGTAGCCAACCATGTTAATCGGAGGTGCGAATGTGTCAATTGTACCATGTCGATGTTGTTATTTGTATTTTTTCATAGTTGTTCATACTTAACAAAAAGGCACTTCGGCCTTGCTTTTGACTTTGCAAAATTGGCAGCAAACTCTGGGGTGGTTCCTTGCGCGCATCTCATTTCCTGACCCCCGCAACAATCGGTGCTTGATTGTGAATGTGTCTGGCAAGTGTCAAATTAGTCAGCCGACCTAATGCTGAACCCATTGAAAAGCAAAACGGTGTTTTTTAAATAGCCAACAGCAATGACTGACCCACTGAAACATCAATCTTGTGATGTCACCGCATTCTGTCATATGTCAGCATTAGGGGCCATCTATTTAGTAGATACGCAAAAATCTGTCAACTTGACCCCCCCCCTCTCCCTGTACGCACGCGCACTTTTTACACCCCCCCCCCCCCCCCACCTGCGTACGTACGCTTGACCGCCCCCCCCCACCCCAAATCATATAGAACAGCCACGCAGAAACGATCAAGAATTAATTATATTAACGTGTTTAAGCAAACAGTCCACCGCCGGACTATCTAACTCATTTGAAGGCCAATGTAGACAAATTATTATCGAGGCTTCACACCCCCCCCCCCTCCCGTTTCCTATCCGTGCGTACATTGTCAGTAGACCCCCCATACGCAAGCGTACGCATTTGGGTTAACCCCCCCTCCATGCGTACTTGCTAAATGTATGGGCCCCTTAGCCATTCGAACACGTTTCTTACTCTTATTTTAAAGGAAAGCTCCTGACAAAGGAAAACATTAGATACAGACACAACACTTCTTTCCATCCCGGTGGCAATGACAAAGTTCAACTGTGTCTCTGCCAAGAGTAATATTGCCCTCCTTGTTAACGCTGTACAAATATAGGAAGAGAGCATGTGTCGGTCTTTGTTGTGAAGGTGATGCAGAGTGTAGTTATACAAAAGTGAGAGAAATGTGTAAATATAATGTGGGCTTTAGTGAAAAACAGTTGCTATTCGCAGCATACGCACGATCTGTAGCTGTTTTTTTATGCTATGTAAGCAGCTTTTGTTGGCTGTGAATTGTAATTCTGAAAACAGAGTGTATGCGGCAGAGAAAGTTTATTTAGTTATTTTTAAATTCTTGGAAAATAAAAACGTTCTTTATTTTAACTCTTCCCCGTGCTGGTGGCCTGAGGGTTCAGTGTGGGGGCTCCGTTTGGCTGAAAGCGGCAACATTTGTAAAAGTGGTTGTAGGAGGTCAAACGCACCTCCCTTAAGGGGAGCTTTTGAACCAGAACTGTTTATATAAGGTACATACTGTGCCGTATTGCTTTGAATTTCTAGTGACCAATAATGTTTTGGTCATTAATACCTTTTTTTTCCACCCAGTAATGGAATTCATTTTAAGGTGAAATGAGTACCACTTTGTGCAACCTCAACATTAGTTGTCCTTTGCAAGTCAACTCGCATGGAAATGAGCATTGTACCACGCTTATTTAAGCATAGATACACTCTAACATTGATGACCCTGTTGATGAAATAATCTGGTCTGTCAGTATGCTAGCTACAATAAAAACATCACAAATACTGTCTTGATGAGAGAGATATATTAGATAATAAAAAAAATCGTTAAGTGGCTAAAAATGTTAGGGCTTTTTTTTTTACCTGTAAAATCCCCACTGGAGGTTACCGATTTGGGATGAGCTAATTGAATAAAATAAAATAACCTGGCATTCCCAGGGAAACCACACGTGAAGGCAAATTACACTGATAATACATTGCAAATCTTCGTGCTCCGTTTCCTTCAGCAGCTGGTACTGGCAGTGGTCAGACGCGCATGCCGTCTTTGTGTGCTCCGCACACACCCTGCCTGGTTTACAGGCCACCGCACCTGGCATGTACAATGATTATTTGAGAATCGCTTCATGCCTTTACGAGGCGTGGGTGCCACCTCAACTCTCAAACTCATCTGGCCAGCAGCACGAGTGCTTGGGGTTAATAATAATGCCTTATCAGAGATGGGGCCCTTCGCCTACACAAGTGTCTTGCGTGCGGCTGACATTTAAAGGTCCTCGTAATAGATGGGGACGATTCGTGGGGAAATGTGTGCGAGATTTGACAATAATAAGTCACGTCCGCTTGGCATTCTTCAGCAAAAGAAACGTCACAATTCCTCATGAATGTTTCATCTCGTGGTCCTCTCTGTGGCAACGGAATTGCAACGCAGATTCTGCTCGCTGTCATTCGACAACATGGGTTTCGTAAGATACGTGCTTAAAGTTCCCAGTTGTTTCAATATAAACAGACACATGTCTATGCATAAGATGGCGTGCGCAAATTTTTCCTTTTGTATTTGTAACTCCATCTTAAGGGGAGATAAAAGTGCTCCATGAACACAATCGGAAATGAAATGGTGTCTTTCCATCTCTGCAGCCTTTGCTTTGTGTAACAAACATTCAGCAATATGAATTCAGCCACTTGACTCTTACCAAAGATATTGGGAGGAAAGTGACTGCAGTTGCACACAACAGAGAAGTGGGCAGATGTGCACAGGACATCCTGTGACTTCTATATTCTGTGAATCTTGGCTTGAAGCTTTCGTGACTGCAGGAATTCGTATTCTTTGGGTCTTCCGGTAAAGTCACGTGGGTTCAAAGAAAATAACAATCGATCGCAATGCCACCGGTCGTCATCCTCCTCCTGATGACGACCGCTTGCGTTGCCATGGAAACGTCGTACGCTTTGGTTATTTTTGTTATTTTCTTTTGAACCTATCTTCGTGACTTTGCCGAAAGACCCAAAGAATATTCTGTGAATGTTAAGCCACAGATGTTTATGATTGCATGCCGTTTGCTGTACGTGTGCATGTGTATTTCACACATGTAACCTTTTTTTCTGATGTGTGTGTGTGTGCAGGCAAAAGTGACCAAAATGGACAAGGAGTGTGCCAAGCCGGTTTTAGCGCCGACTTTACCAAGGTAATGCCCACCCCCCACATCCCCCGTGATAATATAGTCAGCATCCCACAATGTGGACCCTACACCATGCCCCCCCGAGTCCCGATCTGATACATTCGTATTGTTTCCTCGATGGGCAACGTTTAACTTTTGGCTTATAAATAAGAATGTAAAATAGGAAATGTGCGCACGGTCTTGTGGTCCGATAACATTCATTGTATTTGGTGGCAATCTGCAGAATAAATAACAACCCCCGCCTGCTACGAATGTGCTGTTGGCAATTTCCGGATGACAGCACGTCATAGTTTTTGAGGGCAGCTCCTAGACTGCCTGCTTGGTAATATCCTGCTGCCATTTACTCAGAGCAAGCCGCTGCCAAACCACATTGCCAGCAATACATGTATTGTACGTGGCAACGGTTCGCCATAGAGTTGAACAAATGACTCCGTGTGCGCAGACGTTTGTTATCCAACTCGCGTTAAAAGATAATTGCAAGAAAATACTCGCCTGCTTTGTCATTTGCGTGGCGGCATACTCGGGAATTCAACAGGGGACTGGGTGTGAGCCAGAAAAGTGGAGGCCATAAAATGCACTGGAGAATTTGGGATCCTGCCACTGCACACATTGTTAATGATGAGGACATATTTGTTAATGTATATGGTTTAAGTAAAAAAACTTAAACACAGCTTTATTTCAATGTGGAAAATAGAAAATTCACTTTTCAGTCAACAAGCCTTCCAAATGCATTGAGCAATGAGTGGTCAAGAGCACTGCAGACTCGGCTCAGATTACAAGGCCCCAGTAAAAGGCAATAAACAGAGGACTTTTATAACGTCGGTTTTCGTAGCCAATTTAATGATCCATAATTGCTTTTGGGTTTGGCCACGTGATTGTATTATACCTAAAATGTGTGTCGTTAATTCTCCACCACCTAACAAGATTGCCATCTTTACAAATATATTATTTGCACGTGCCAATGTATCGATCAAATTCTGACCAATAAAACTCCTCACCGGTGGCTTAAGACTTCACATCAACATGGGATGAAGCTTTGCTTAAACGGCTTTGAGCTACATTGGGTACCTAATTTTGATTCTGCACTTTTTTTTCTCATTATAATTGTTTAAATAACCTGTGCAGAGCTTTATTGGTCAGAATTTAATCGATGCAGTGGCACGTGTAATACAATCATTATTAACGTGACAATCTTCTCGGGTGCTTGATGGTTACGGAGCACTCAATGGGTTAGCCCCACAATGTTTACAGGAACTGATTCATCTTTATACACTGAGGTCCCTGAGATCTTCGGTATGCTTTCGAAGTGTACTCCAAGGTCAAGGTTAATTTCCTGGGGTGATTGGGCTTTTGCCATTGCAGCTTAAAAGATTTGGATGCTTTGCCTCTTCTAATAAGATAATCAGAATCGTTAGATATATTTAATTATGTCTTGAAAACATATATTTAATTCTGTCTTGAAAACTCGCCTCTTTAACTGGCCTTTGCCCCCTAGTTCTGGCCATTTTACCCAGGTTACGGAAATTGTTTATTTCCATAAACGGTGCATTGGGATGTACGGATGAAATGCGCCTTACAAATGTAAATCATTATTCATTTATTAATGGCAAGAATCTTGACAAAACCACAACGTGACCTAACTAAAAAGCAAAATCCTGATCGACAGAGGATATTTCTGCATCGACATAGATCATGTTGTTTCCACAATGATTCTTAAGATGTAAAATAAATACAAATTATGCTTCCTGCCCGATGAATATTGTTTAATCTTCAAACTAATATTCCTATCAGAAAAAAATGATTTTTTCATGTGCATTATTTACAAAACTCATTTAAGCAGCTTTTTCCTGCAGTAACGTGTTTACATTTTGTAATGGCTGATTGAACAGTGTTCCAAATTTGCTCTAGAATTGTTGTTCAACACAGAATGTGCATTTTTCCTCTATAATCTGTTGAATAAACAAGTTTAGTTAATTTTCCCATAGGCTTAAATTTCCTATTTTTAAGATTAAAAGTTATTATTTGTTTTGTCTTCCAGGCTGGATGGGTAGTGCTTGGAGGCCCAGGGAGCTTCTTTGCTCAAGGTAAGAATTGTAGGGTCAAATTCTTCTGCTAAATATTGTATATATACAAAGCTGCGGTTTCAAGATCCAATTATTTTATTCATGAAATTAAAATGTATTGCGTAAATTATCTCCATATGTTATGGAAATGTTATTTGTTAAATCTTACGGTTTCTCACATCCATAGAGCTCGTAACTGCCAACTTGAATCTCAAAATCTGAAATTTGCAATACATTTAGCGTTGAGTTTAAAAAAAAAACTTACAGTATTTAATTTTGTATTATCACACGTGAAATGCATTTGCTTAAAATTCTGGCACTTCATCTGCGTGAGATTTCCTTCCTTTGCTGGGGTGGGAGGGAGGGGCTGTTGGAATCGCTGTGGGTGGCAGTGCATGGTCCCTCTTGAGCACGAATAAAAGTTTGCAAAATGAAGACGCCGGTTCCACTGTGCTGACACATGGATACAATAAGACATTGTCAATGGGAGTATTACTCATTTAAGAGAGTTGGACGTTTGCTGCAAAAAACTTGATTCTGCAAATCTGTCTTGCTAGACCCAATTGTCTCGTGTACAATGGTGTGTGGATGTCATTATTAGATTCTCAGATTCGCAAACCATCACTCGAAATCCGGTCATCCTTGCGTCGGCTTTTGTTTTACCATTGAACAAAAACAGTCACTGCATCACGTGCTTTTAAGATGCAATTCTGTGGCCATATGGAAGTCTTCTTTCTTTGTATTAGGAAGCCACTGGAACTATGCACTTTTAAATCTAGATTGAAAACTAATTTCTTTAGAACTGCTTTTTGTGTTTAGTTGTCCTACCCGCACGCCTCCGGTTAGCGCAGTTGGCTACATATGGTGCGAAAGAAGTTCAACATATGTACAATGAGGCTCATTGCACACATTGCTGGCCTCACACCTGTTATGTATCTACAGAATTCTGGGAAAGTTGCCAGTGTTGACCATGCGTGGATGTCCTTACTTGAATCGCTGCATTGCTTAGTGATTCCCACAGAGAATAGGCAGATGTACGCATTATCCCCATTCTTTCCACATCACATATGGCCACCATTCACATGTTGACAAGAGGCGTCGTTTGAATGCCTTATTCCTATTGCTCGGTGTAACTTGTCTCATTGTATCTTATGTGCATCCATAGACAACAGAGGGACAGGGTAAATGTGAGGTGTGCTTCATTTTTTCAGCGAGATTGCGGAATGAATAAACTTTTAAATAAACCTGCTAAATAAAATGCTGTGATTTGAGGGCTGGGTGAGTCTGAACACGTACACTTGGACTTATTAATTTGATATAAATGGCCTTATTGTAAATTATGTAATTCAGAGGTTGCATTCCATTCCTCCGGCTGAAGTGGTGGTGCAGTGATTGGTACAATGCATCTCTAGTGATCTGCATTCGATTCCTGGCCACAGCTACAATCAGTGGTGACTGATGCCTAAGCCGTTCCTGTACCTGTACTGACCAATGTGGTAAAGTATGGTTAAAAATACCCACAACTGACACAGCATAAGGGATGTAAATTGGTATTGTTATTCCATTACATCACCAAAACATTGCGTCAATAACCTCTCGTACTTTAATATTGTAAATAAATGTGAAATACTTTAATGTAAAAATGCACGTTATCCATAACAGAGAATTTACATTGTCAATGCACTGCTGGACGAGGGCCTCTCAGTCTATGGGGGTTGTTTGACTACTTCACGACATGTGCGGGTTGATGAAGGTGTGCTTATAGACATGGATGCATAGAAGTACAGTAAACGATATATATATGGGGTGCCATATACCTCGACTACCTCACATGGTATTATACAGGTCGTTAGTTCAATCCCGACCCTGATACCTGTATATTTGGAGTTTGCATGTTCTCTCTCTCTCTCCTCGTGGTCGCGTGGATTTTTCTGAAGGTCCTCCGGTTTTTCCCACCCCATTTAGAATCAACATGCGTTTAGAGTTTTTGGCTACGAAACTTTTCCACATTGTAAGTCACTTCATTGAGCTAGCATTTGTGGCCAGTTCACTTCTGAAAAAGAGCTATTTTGCTCAGTGGGACCGACCTTTAGTTAAAAAAGTGTTTTAGTTAATGTCATTTTCTGCATTGCACACTGCTGCCCACTTTTGTGGATAATAGATTTTAACAAAAAATAGTAAATTTTTATTTAAAGCTTTTGTGACTGCAGGGATTCATATTCCTGGTTAATTTTGGTAAAGTTCACGCAGAAGGGGAAACAATAAAATAATAAAAATATAAACAATAAAATTCTCGAACGACGTTTCGACTGCAACACAAGCAATCATCATCAGGTGGTGAAAAGCACGCAAGAAAATTTGAAAAAGTGGCGGTTATTTTAAACGTTAGCACCACGGAGAGCGATTTGACAGTTGTTCAGATGGACGAGTCCATCTATGTTCGGAAAAGAGGACGGGGGAGACGAAATAATGGATGCGGTCTGAAAGCCACTGTAAGCATGAACATCAATTAAGACCCGAAATGTTTATCAAATCCTTCCATGATTGCTAAGCCAGAATCCATCTTCTCAGTTGAAATTGTCTGTTTGTAATGTGGATAGCCTCATGAACGAATCTCTCATGGTAGCCAGATGGCTTGCAAAGAACCTCTGTCTTGGAGAAGTCAATGTCATGTGAGCCTACTGAATTATAACAGTGATCTGTCACGGCCGAGGTGTTGGTCCTACCGTGTTTTAGGTCTGCTTTGAGTTCATGAATGCGGTCCGAGAGATGTCGTTTGGTTTCTCCAATGTAACTACTACCACAGAGGCATATTAGTTTGTAGACGCCAGGGTACTGTATATCTGGAATCACATCTTTTACAGACGGAACCAGATCACGGATTTTATGTAATGTGTTGAATCGCACCTGGATCTTGTGTTTATTCAAGATTTTGGAGATATTTTTTGTGATCCCCGCAATGTAGGGTAAGTGATGGTTTTGGAAAGGCTCCTCAGGAGGGTCCTTCTTCATGGTTGGAGTGATAGCTTTGCGGATTGTGTAGTCGGAGTAACCATTAGCCTTAAGAGCTTGGTGTACGTGCTTGAGTTCACTGGCTATGTGTTCCTGGTCGGATATGCATTGGGCTCTATGGTGCAGAGTCTTGATGAGGAATTCTTCTCGGATGGATGGTGGTGGGAATCCGGTTTCAGGTAAGCATCCGTATGGTAGCTTTCCTTTAGACAGAGTGGCTCATTGAACCATCAGGTCTCTTTTTATTAGGACATCCAAAAAAGGTAGCTTGCCATCTATTTCGACTTCCATGGTAAATCTGATGGCTGGGTGTATGGAATTGATGTGGTCGAGGAATTGTTTTCCTTCTACGTGACTTTACTGAAAGAACCAAGAATAAAAAATTGTAAGATACACTTCCAAGAAATGGTTTTCAGATGTTTTGTTCTCATTTGTTATGGTAATTTTGTGATAAGTTGGCAGCAATACGCACTACATACCATGATGGAGAAAGCTTCCTTGTGGTTTTCACGTGTTCGTTCTAGTTAGATAATGCTCTGCATGAACAGAAAAAAACCCTGGAGAATACGGGTGCTTGGTCGGTGAGACTGTGTTTATGGAGGGAACTCCCTTTTTTTTTGCTCTGGTAATTGCCTTGAAAACAATCAGTTGGCTGCTTAAACAGTCCAGCCCGTGATAATGGAGGCCGATACTGATAAGGCATGTATTGTTTACAAGCCCCTGTCCCCATGCTCTTAAACGAAATGTGGAGCTTGGTTTAAATGTTTTATCAGGTGTCGATTATTTATTTTTTGCATCTGCTACTGCATACGATAATGTTGGCGTTGTGTTTTGACACCTTGCAGTGTAGCAGCCATTTGCTGCTACAGGTTTGCTTTTGGACTCCCATTAAATCGAAAGGCAGACATTACGCCTGCCTTTGTGTACTCTGAGACTGAGTGGTCCAAAACACAGTGTAAGTATGCATTTGTTGTACTTTCTTTCTGCAAGAGTTGGTTGTGAACATTTTGTTAGTGTAAAGTTTTAGTGACCTGGCTGGGTGGAGTTGTGGAGGAGTGTTTTTGACATATTAGCAGAAGGTTGAGAGTTCAAATACCTTTTGGGGGTTGACTTGGCCCATCATCCCTACAGTATCAATAAAATAAGTACCTATATATAGAAGTTAACATTATTTTGGCGTTGAAAACACTTGAAATCCAAATCGATCATGACAGAAATGTGTTCCTGCAATAGGAAAGGGAAATTTATAGCTCTGACTCATTACAACAATCACATATTAGCATTACCCAACACTTCTTTAAGAACATGTTCTTTGACTTAAAAAATGTAGTGAAATAAAAACATCCATGGATAACTTCTAGATTTAAAGCTTTCGTGACTGCTAGGATCCATACTCTGTCTGGAGGACAGCGCTGGAGTGAGCGCTGTCCTCCAGACAGTCTCGTCCCTTCACCTGATGAAGGCCACTTGTGTTGTGGCCGAAACGTCGTGATTTTTTGTTATTTTATTTTCACCTACGTGACTTTACCCAATAGAACCAAAGAGTATCCATGGATGACATTTTTCCCATTTAACCTTTGACATTTCCTGGAACTTGGTAACGGCAATTCTGTGGAAAACAACAATCCGTTAATTATGTCTTGCAAGATATATTTTTAATATATTATCTTTACCTTTTATCCCTATAACTGGGTTCCTGTAGGGTATATATTGCTGCTTCAAAGCAATAATAGGGCAAGGGGGGAGGATATGTCGGGTGGTAGTCGATCATTTACCACCCAGTCCACTTGCGTTAATGGCTCGCTTCCTGTGCTACCAGATAATTTTTGCAAATGAATACAAAAAACTCAATTTGCCATCATGTGCACATTAAAGTCCCTGTGACACCTTCACAAAATTAGGTCCTCGTACACAAATTTCACATCTCAAATGACAATTTGGCAACTAAAATACTAAAAAAGAAATATGATCCATTCTGGTGAGGAAGCTTGCCTGGCCAGAAAAGAAAT